AGCCGCCTGCCCCTGCCTTGACTTTCCCAAACAAGTCTGAGCCCCCGAATGCTTACTTAGACATGTCCTTGCTTAAAGGATGCGTGTGCTTTCTCCAGGATGCTTACCCTACTGATAGTATCTAATAGTTAATTTTAGTTCAAGCTGTTGCTATAATAAAAGCCTAAGGAGGCAGGCAAACAGAGCTGTTCGGTTTCTCAAGCCAAGCATTCCCTTAGCCCTCTCTTTCACAGAAATGTGTGTCAGAGTAATCATTTATCCATCGCTCAGGGTCTTGCCAGTCACCCCCGGTAACAAATGGTATATATCATAGTCCTTGAGAGTCTGGCATCTGAAATGTTCCTTTAATCAGTGGAATTTTATGTTTTTGCAGGTATGGGCGGAGCTGCCATCGCACCACCCACTTCTCTTGTAGAGAAAGACAAAGAGTGTATGTATCTATATCTCCCCCTCTTTTCTTTTGATATAAATCTTTAACCCAGCCATGGCCAGTCTTAGCTTCTATCAGCCAGGTTTCCTGAATCTAAAGGGAAATTGCCCCAAAGCCTGTCCTCTGGCCTGAACCCTGAGGCCCAGTGTGGGTCCTTCAGGCTGCTGTTCCCATTCATTCCTTGTACTTTAGAAGTTTTAATGCCAGGCTCTGAGACTTGGATTTTTATACAGTGTTATGCTTTTTTGTTGTTGTTTTAATATATTTTTTAATTGTTGATAGTATTACAGATATCTCCCATCACGCCCCCCTTTATCCCCTCCTCCCAGCCCCTATCCCCTTATCCCCCACCCCAGGTTTTTAATACCCTATTGCCTGTGTCCATGAGCTATGCATATAAATATATAAGTTCTTTAGCTTATTTCTTCTCATCCTACTGTTGTTTTTTTAAAATTCATTTTGTCTTCTCCAACATTTCATATTTGGAGTTAGGCTAAAACAATAATAGCTCAGTTTACGATTTGTGTCCTCAGTGGTTTGGAGGCTGTTAAGTTCATGACTTCCACAAGGTGGCAGTGCCTTCCTGATTAGATTTTCTGCCATTAGTTTTGATTTCGTCTCACAGGCTGTGTGTCTTCACTTACATTGCCAGAACACACCCACCCACTGTTTCAATTCCCAGTGATCTGTTCTAGGAATTGAACTTTGATGTATCATCTAGGTCATTTTCCTATCCTTTAGGTTGGCCCATACCTAAACTATCCCAAGAAAATATAATCATCCCTCATGCTTTTTAATACCTGTTGCACTATTTATGTTATCTTTTTAAAGAATATAACTTAAAAAGTTTTGTTAAATACCTTTTGTGTAAAAACACCTAGAAAACCATAAACTCAATTAAAACCAGCCTGTTTTTTTGTGTGTGTTTTTTTTTAAAGCTTCCTGTTGAAAATCACTGCTGTAGCCAGGTTTGAAAATCACTGGTCTGGTACATGGTCCATAACCTCAATGACCTTTATTTTATGCTAGGCTAATGAAATAGATTAGAGTCCAAAGACAGGTATACAAGATGATATGGAAATCAAAAGAGATTTTGATTGGATCTAGCTGAAACATACAAAACTCTTAAGCATTCAGACAAAAATTGTCATTTAGAGCACTTTTAAAGGATAACATTTCAGTAAGGTATAAAAAGGACATTTGAGATAACAGCTGGAACAAAGCTAAAATTAGAAAAATAGTACATACCTCTCTAATTTTAAAAAGTCATGTAGGGGCTGTACAATGGGTTTTGTTTTTCCTCCTTATAGAAAACTAAAAATGTCAGTTAAGTTAGTTCAAAATAACTGATTTATACAAGTGCAGTTCGGGATACTTTTTGTAGTATTTTGGTAAACCTATTTTATTTTTATCCAATAGTACCCCGAGAATTTCCTTATGAAGAGGATTCAAGACCTCGCTCACAGTCTTCTAAAGCTGCCATTCCTCCTCCTGTGTATGAGGAACAGGACAGACCCAGATCTCCAACGGGCCCTGGCAACTCCTTCCTCGCCAACATGGGGTAATGGTTCCAAGTGCTGTCGTCTTGGCAGGTGTAAGAAGGACGAGACTCATTGTGAAGGGTTGGCAGCCCTTTCAGTAGATGCAGTTTGTTTGAAAGTGAGGGCGTTCTCTAGTTATAGGAAGATGCTTGGTGTGTTCAATCACACAATGTCATTCTTCAGAATCTGAGTCACATAGAGGGTATTGCAGCACAATGCTATCATATTTTGTACAAAACAAAGTCTTCTGATGTAAGTTTCGGATGATTTCATTGCTGAACATTATATTCTCTAGGTAGGAACGGTTTCTCATAATTATTTACATGTATTTTCAAAACATTTGCAAGTAAAATATGGCTTATGAGTTACACCTGACTTATACTATGCCCAAAGGGTGAATGACATCATGTATATATATGTAAAAAATATATATATGATGAGACATTTGCTTTAAGGTCATGGTTCTGTACCTTTGGTCTAAAAACTTAGTCATTCAAACTAAGAGTATTTGCCTGCATGTAAAAATCAATTTTAAGGTTGACTTTCAGGTATGGCTTGTGGAATTTAAAATCCCCACTGGATTTGCCATACATTTTGGTTAAAACAATGTTTTATGTTTACTTTGTTTCTTTCATGCAATGAGAGACTATCAAATGAAGCTGCATTACACTAAGGCCTTTGTTCTGTGTCCTTTAGAAGGACACTGCCTATGGTAGAAATGCTGTGACCATAGTAATCACACTGATCTGCCCTTGTCTATGTGCATATACTCTGATTCTTAGAGCCCTTGAGAAGTGACTAGACAAGAATTGGAGTAGATGGTTGGGGTTCCCACACTGAGAGAGGATTTTGACTTTCTGACCTTGGTATCCATCTCCCAGATTTGTGTTCTCTATGGTAACTGCTAGCCAGGGGTGGCTATTAATTTAAAATGAATACAATTTAAAATGTAGTTCCTTATCTCAAGTGCTCAATAACCACACAAAGCTAACAGCTACCCTATTGGCCAGTCCCCATCATTGTAAAATAGGTGTATTAGGCTTCCCTAGAATGTATGCTGGAAGGTGGATAGACATGAAACTGTTATTTTTTTTTTCTGCTGATGATAAAAATTGACTTTTTGCTGAATTCCCTTTTAAACAGTAATTCTCTATGCCTAAGAAAAATGCAGTGTAGTACAATTCAGCCGTTTGAGTCTTTTCTTTTTAGCCCTAGAACAGTTTCAAATGCAATTTTAACGGAAATCACATAAACATGAAGTAATGTAGGTCTAATTCTAGTGGTTCAAGCAATGGGGACACTCTTTTTTTTTTTTTTTTTTTTTTACATTTTATTGATTTTTACAGAGAGGAAGGGAGAGTTAGAAACATCGATGAGAGAGAAACATGGATTAGCTGCCTCCTGCACACCCCCCTCTGGGGATGTGCCCGCAACCAAGGTACATGCCCTTGACTGGAATCGAACATGGGACCTTTCATTCCACAGGCCGACACTCTATCCACTGAGCCAAACCGGTTAGGGCATTGGGGACACTCTTGAGACACCTCCAAGTGCAGTTTGAAAGTTACTGTATTAGAGAATGAGCAGTGGACTGAGAATTACAAGTTGTGGGTCCTAATTTCAATTTTACCGTTAATACCTATAGAAATAACTTCTAATATTATGTCTTGTTTTTGTTTCTAATCAGCTTTAAGCTAGCCTAGTTGACTAATCTGGGCTTCAGTTTATTTTCCCATCGATTAAGTAGATGATCTCTATATAAAATCTGTTATTGTAAACTCTACTGTACTATTTAGAAAAATGCATTTTCACTGTGAAACTTTATCCTTTTTTGACAGGCACATTTTTAAATTTTTATGGCTTTAAGTAATTTTTATTTTCCTATTACAGTTGACATGCTATATTATATTAGCTTCAGGTGTACACCCCAGTGATTAGACATTATATATTGCTAAGTGATAACCCCCAAAAATATAGTACCCATCTGACACCATACATAGTTATTATAATATTATTGACTATTACTTATGCTGTACTCTACATCTCCATGACTATTCTGTAACTACCAATTTGTGCTTCTTAATCTCTTTACCTTTTTCACCCATCGCCCCAAATCTCTTCCCATCTGGCAAAAAGTTCTCTCTATATATGTATGTCTGTTCTGCTTGTTTATTTTGTTCTTTAGATTCCACATATAAGTGATATCACATAGTATTTGTCTTCCCCTGTCTGATTCATTTCACTCAGCACAATGCCTTATATGTCCATTAATGTTGTAGATGGCAAGATTTTTATCATTTAAACTAATCATTGATAGATATTTACTTATTGCCATTTTATTACTCATATTTTTTTTCTTCCTCTTCTGAAAGAAGACAAGACCCTTTAACATTTCTTGTAATACTGGTTTGGTGGTGAGGAACTCATTTAGCTTTTTCTTGTCTAGGCAGCTCTTTATCTGTCCTTCAATTCTAAGTGATAGCTTTGCTGGGTAGAGTAATCTTGATTGTAGATCCTTGCTTTTCATCACTTTGAATAGTTCTTACCAATCCTTTCTGACCTGCAAAGTTTCTGTTGAGAAATCAGCTGACAGTCTTGTGGGAGCTCCCTTGTAGATAAATGCTTTTCTCTTGCTGCTTTTAGAGATTCTCTCTTTGTCTTTAATCTTTGGCATTTTAATTATGATGTTCCTTGGTGTGGACCTTTTTGGGTTCACCTTGTTTGGGATTCTCTGTGCTTCCTTGACAGGCACATTTTAAAAAGTAAACTGTGGTCATACATCAATGAATGAAATCTGAAGAACAATATAAACAAACAAAACAAACAGACTCATAGATATGGAGAACAGACTGATGGTTGCCAGAGAGAAGGTGGTGAAGGGACCGGGTGGAAAAGGTAAAAGGATGGAGAAGTACAGATTAGTAGTTACAAAATAATTATGGGGATATATAATACAGCACAGGAAATATAGTCAATAATATTGTAATAATGATGTGTGGTGCCAGTTGGGTACTGAAAATTTCCGGGGAACCACTTTGTAAAGTATATGATTGTCTAACCAATGTGCTGTATGCCTGAAACTAATACAAAATAATATTAAGTACAAACTGTGATTGAAAAAAATATTTCTATAGCAATGCAGGTACTAGAACACACAGGAATCCTAATGTTTTGTAACAGAGGTACAGGGGAAATTTCATTAGAGAAACTAATATTTCCCTTACCGTAAAGATAATCTCAGGATGTCCAGTATTTTTTATATATCTTTCATTCTGAACATCCCCACAACTTTGTCTAATGTCCGTTGTTAATTATGTGTGACGTCATTGAAGCCCTTGTAGAATTTCTATTCTCCTTTCTAGAAGGAAAATGTTAAGATATAAAATCCAATTTATGCTATAGCTGATGACCTTAAGTATAAAGGACCTTTTTCTTTTCTTTCTCCCAGTGGCACAGTAGCACATAAAATCATGCAGAAGTATGGCTTTCGGGAAGGCCAAGGTCTTGGTAAACACGAGCAAGGGCTGAGCACGGCGTTGTCAGTGGAGAAGACGAGCAAGCGAGGAGGCAAGATCATTGTGGGCGAAGTCACAGAAAAAGGTGGGTCCTCCCCAGAAGCAGTGAGAGATGCAGTCCAGACGCAGAGGGCTGGCCCTCTTGAATACAATAAGAGAAACCCTGATTATGATGCATCCCAATTCTGTGTTGTGGTTCTTCATCTTTATTTGCTCAGAATAGATGTAGAGATAGGAAGGCCCATAGGAGAAAAGACAATAACTTTGGCAGAAAATGAACATTACTCAAGAAAATAAGTTCATGCCTACTTCTACTAGGCAAAGAATCTTGTTAAATTGATAAGATCATAGTTATCTGCTATATTCCAATTTGTAAGGGTTCTTATTGGTAGATTATGCCTAGTTGGTGTTTAATTTTTATTCTCTCACTACACAGCTTTAGAAAGTAACCAGTCAGCCAAGAGCCGTCCTGATTTGTGGGAATATGTGCAATTAGGCAGCCAGTGGCCAGCTAATTACCTGCTTATTATATTGGACTAGTGACCTTTGGCCACTTCCCAAGCCAAGACTCTCACCTGTTGATGTGCACTGTCAACCCCTTAGGAAGTGAACTAAGTGAAAATTGTAGGTATCCAGGGAAGCTAAAAATTTCCAGAAATTATAGTAAAAACTGTTACCAAAGCAAAGCATATGCTTCCATTACAGATAGGGCTATATTTTTTCTTAGCCATAGATGATTATACCGTAGATGACTCTAGGACAGTGGTTCTCAACCTTCCTAATGCCGCGACCCTGTAATACAGTTCCTCATGTTGTGGTGACCCCCGACCATAAAATTATTTTCGTTGCTACTTCATAACTGTAATTTTGCTACTGTTATGAATCGTAATGTAAATATCTGATATGCAGGATGTATTTTCATTGTTACAAATTGAACATAATTAAAGCATAGTGATTAATCACAAAAACAATATGTAATTATATATGTGTTTTCCGATGGTCTTAGGCGACCCCTGTGAAAGGGTCGTTCGACCCCCAAAGGGGTCGCGACCCACAGGTTGAGTACCGCTGCTCTAGGACTTAAGAGGGTTGCTGTTAAAAATAAATTATTCATTGTAACTTGAACTCAGTGCTCTAACATATGTATATCTCATTGTTTGTTTTCCTACAGATGCAGCCAAGAAGTCAGATTCAAATCCATTAACTGAAATACTTAAATGTCCTACTAAAGTGGTCCTACTAAGGGTAAGAAGCAGAAGGAAGCAACCTGTTTGCCCACCTTGATTTATGTACACTCTGTCCTAACCTATCCCTTATGCTTTCAGCACCACTGATACCATAATGGATAAAAAAATTGAAAAGAATATTTTTGCAAATGATACTATTGGATAGACACCACATAAGACTAATAGAATTTTTTACTAATGTTTCTTTGCTAAAGATAATATTTAAGACAATAGTGTTTACTTTAAAATATTTGAAATTGTTAGATGTTTATCTTAGTTTATGTATTTTGATGGTTGCATAATTGCTCTTGTAAATCTATGGAGTTTAGTTTATATGTTTGTTTTTTTTAAGAAATAATTTTGGGGGACTACAGGTGTGAAAATTTTCATTGTGTTATTTGAGAGAGAGAACATTTACTACCATAAAGTTATTTATACATCTTATTTATATATTAATAAATTATACATGATACTTGAATTTATTTATTTTTGTTTATAGAACATGGTTGGTGCAGGAGAGGTAGATGAAGACTTGGAAGTTGAAACCAAGGAAGAGTGTGAAAAATATGGCAAAGTTGGAAAATGTGTGATATTTGAAGTAAGAAAGTTTTCTTTAGATGTTTATAAACTGTTGTGATTGACAGGTTACAAAACATTTTCTACAAATAGAGATGTGTGCTGTGCTTAAGTAACATTGTCTTACTACAGGAGGTGACAGGTATTGGTTATACTTCTCTTACTTAATTATAAAAATTTTAAACATAAAGACAAGAAAGGACTTCACATTTTATTTGGAGAAGAAATGAACATTTCATTTTATGATTGAGGTTTAGTTTGGTGATTAAAGACTTTGATTATAGTATGCTCAATAGTTCAGTTATTTGGACATGCCTTTGGTTTCATTCATTTGACAAGTATATATTTAGTGCCTCTCATATATCCAATACTGTATTGAGAGCATTGGGGATGTTCTGTGCTCTCAGTGATATGTTTAGTTGAAACAACAAAAAGAACACATATAAAAATAGACAATATTTTGTTGCTAGATTCAGTGGTTATTGACTATAAGTACTGGAGTTGAGAAAAGGATTTAGATTTAAAAAACAACAGAAGGCTTTGTGACAATATCAGATGCCAGCCGAGCTTTGAAATGAATGGGTAGGATTTGGATAGGTGGAAAAGATATTCAGATTAGGGTCACAGCTTCTGGGAGACTGACGAGGGCTACAAAATGGAATGGTTGGGCATGTTGGGGATTAATAGGAAACATGTTTACATAGGTGGAATGGGGCCATATGCAGGGTGTAGAGAGTATGACAAAGGAATTTAACCTATAATGAGAGGCAGTTAGAATATAAATCTTTTTTTTCTTAAATTTCTGCTCTCACTTTTGCTTCCTTTTTATATCATATTGCCATTTGTTGACCAAATAATTATTTGTTTACATGTCACCTGGCATAGGACCTCTATAAGATCAGACTGCTTAACTTAGCTATGTATTCCCAGCACCTAAACTGTGCCTGTCATAAACAGATCTTAAACAAATTTTTGATGTCAATTTGTAGTTATTTCCTTGGTATTTGACTGCTTCTTATTTGTATATGATGATAATTGACACACTTATTCTGACAGAAATCATTAACGGAAGAAAACTCACATTTAGTGATATCTCAAATACCTATTTATCTATTATACTTTTAATTTTTTCCAGATTCCTGGTGCCCCTGATGATGAAGCAGTACGAATATTTTTAGAATTTGAGAGGGTTGAATCAGCAATTAAAGGTAAGTTGTATAACTAAATATAAAAATTAAAAAGTTGAAATTGTGATCTTGTTAGAATTAAAACATGTTCTTCTAGTGTCTTAAAAGAATCTGTATTAACTGACTGTCTTTTTGTTTGCCTTTTAGCTGTCGTTGATCTGAATGGGAGGTATTTTGGTGGACGGGTGGTAAAAGCATGTTTCTACAATTTGGATAAATTCAGGGTGTTGGATTTGGCGGAACAAGTTTGATTTTAAGAACTAGAGCACAGGCTACAAGCTGCAAGCAGAGAAGAAAAAGGCGACAGCCAGTCTGCTTGGCTGTTGGGTACAGAGACTCTTGGAAGGACTGCTAAGATATATGTTGATTAATCCCTTTTTTATTTTGTGGTTTTTTTAATATAGTATAAAAATCCTTTAAAAAAAAACAACAATCTGCGTGCCTCTCTGGTTGTTTCTCTTTCTTATTACCACTTCTGGGTAATTAACTTTTTTTTTTTTTTGCTAGGATTTCATGATAATTCTCAAGTGCTCCAGTGATACAGCATTTCTTGCACTAAAAATATCTAAAAAGTTCTGGGATATGGGGTTGTATTAAGTTATCCTTTGCATTTCTTTCATTTTTTTAAAATAAAACTTGCAAGTTACTGTAGTTCCATAAATTCTATAATAAAGTATCATCTTGGCAGTCTGCCAAAGGTGAAAATGTTTGCTTTCTCTAACAGAGAAATTCTTAACTGATTCCGGTTGTAGAAAAAAAGTCTTTAAGATCTGAACTACGGTTGAAGAATTGTGAACCTACCATGACTTGTTTGGATGAATCATTTCAATTAAACTAAGTCAGACTGTAGGGTTTGTGATGGACTTAGGATATAGAAATCATGAACCTAGCAATTCTAGCATAGTCTTCAGGGTAGATCAGAAATGACAAGTTAATTCAAAACCTTACAGGTACATTGTAAATGTGTGCCCATATCTTTTGGAAATGGTGGTTCCTTGGAGTCACATTTCTACTGGCAAAATTTGCAAAAGTGTTAGTTCTTATATATATTTTAAAATTTATAAAATTCAGCCACATCAGCTACTTAAACTGTACCGCCAATTAATACAATTCCAGAGTTATAAAAAAATTGTACCATTGAAGTACAGTGGTATGTGTGGCTTAAAAATTAATAGGACCATGAAAAAGGACAAAAATATTTGGTGCTGGGGTTCATTGCTAGAGCAGGAAGTGTTTCCAGAATATACATGTGCCTGTATTCTGGTCCTTGCTTGCCTGAATATTGCTGAAGGACATGTACCTATGTTGTCTCTCTTGGTTATTATGACATGAAAGCGTGTTGTGACCCTTTGGGTAAAGAAAGCACTCAACATTTCTTTACATTCCATGGACTTGGTTTGAAGACCTAAGGAATATTCTGACCCTTTTTAAAAAAGGATTTTCTCATGTTTTTATTTTAACAGAAATAAAATAATAATGTTTTTTCTTTTGTGGTATTACTTTATTGAGTAAAATTTAATTGATACTTTGTTTTTGTGATAAAAATGCACATATTTTATAAGATAAGTTTGGATTAAAGATTAAAACATAAAAGGATTACATAATTGAATACTAAAGAATCAACAGCAGCCCTGAAACTTGAATGTGTCTACCTATGGACTTAGCTACTGAATAATGCCTTTTTTGGCTTACAAGTACCTAACTGTGCTTATGCTACATGATTATTATGAGACTTAGTTTAATTTGTATAAACTCTAATGTTCTTAAACTATAAGTTCCAAACTACCTTTTATATCTGCATAATTATTATTTTGTTGCATAATAACGTCATTGTTCATTTGTATTTAGGTGGCTTTCCCCAACATTCTCATGAACAACAACCAGAGAAATAAAATGCAAGTAACTAAGTTTTAGTAGCATGGACACAACTTGGTGAATATCTTTCTTCCCAGTCTTTAATTATTTTGTATTTGTCCATGACTGCATTATTTGCAATGAGTTTTTAATATTGGAATAATTTCTAAATCTGCAAAATAGTGCTCAAGAGATTTTAAATTAATTTTCAATATTAGCTAACTAAAATTCAAATTTGACTTCAATATAAAAATTCCAATATAAATTAAAAATTAAAGATTCAGTGTAATGGACATTTATCCCTCTTGGCCCACCTGTGATCTTCTGGAAGCCTTTCCTGTGTTTGGGGAGTTTGCTGCATTCACTCCCTTCCTTAAGATAGAGATTAGAAACTTGCTTTGCCAGTGTGTCTCAAAGCTAAGGCAGGCACTGTGTCCTGGGCCCAGTTATATCAGACTAGAGGCGTGGTACACAAAATTCGTGCACTCGGGGAGGGTCTCTCAGCCTGGCCTGCGCCCTCTCACAGTCCAAGAGCCCTTGGGGGAGCAGGCCTAAGCCGGCAGTTGGACATCCTTAGTGCTGCCGCAGAGTGTCCTGCATTGAGCATCTGCCCTCTGGTTGTCAGTGTGTGTCATAGCGACCGGTCGTTCTGCCATTTGGTTGATTTGCATATTAGCCTTTTATTATATAAGATGTGCCACCCCAAGGCTTCAGCTTGGAGCAGAGCTTGTACAGGAGCTGTTCTCATACTGCCCAGGGTTGGCACAGTGTAGTTTAGTGTTTGGGCAGTGGCAGCAGAGACATTGTCATCCCATAGTGGCATGTATTGTAGTAGGGTCATGTGTTGCAGGGAAGTCTTTGGAGCAGTTTCTAGATGTGATTTAGGAGTTTTCTTGCTTTGTATAAAACCTCCCAAATGTGATGGGCCTATCTGGAGATTATGTTTGCTATCTGGTTTGTTTATTTTTGGGGGCGGAGGGAGTGAGGGTAGATTTCTTCAATTTAAACAAGCATAGTGAGTTCTCTTTATTTGCGACTAAGAACAACTGATGATAAACAAGTTGATACTGGAATTGCAAATGACAAATCCTAAAAAATGGAGATGTAGGACAGGAGAAGCCATTATCCTAGGTTAGTTGGTGAAACTAGTTATCAGTTAGCAAAACATCTTGCCAAACTGTTAACTGGACTTCAGGGTACAAACCTGACTGCTTTAAGGGAAATAATGGGGGAGCTGCAGAATGTTGGCATGTGTCTGGTCACTTCTTAGGCAGCTGTGTTGGTGCCAAACTGCATAGGTTCAAATCCTGGTTCAGAGTATTTTTCTGTGTGACCAAGTGCCTCACCTGAACATAGAAATGCTAATCATTCTTACTTCTTAGGATTATTAGGAAGGTTAAACAACTCATACATGGAAAACAGTATCATAGAAGTGTTGAAACAGCTATTGCAAACTGCAAAGTCCTGCAAGAGAGCAATTAAGTCAGACTAAAGGAAGCTGGTTTGAAAGCAGTGGGAAGAAAACAGCCTTGCTAAGAGAAACTCTTTTTGCAATCTGTATAGTCTGGGTGGATTGAGAGTTGCAAGGCTTAGAGTCTGCAGATTTGAGAAAACCTACCATAATTGAAACAACCAAGGGGCCCAACAGCAGCTGTAGCAGGAGTTGAGATTAGAGGTTGGGGCCTTGTAAACATAAAATTGAAGATGTTGCTTTCCCACTTCAAATGATGGCTTTGAATTGACAATAGCCAGTAAGGTAGGGAGAAGGGACTGGACAGAGCCCCAGATACCACCTGCTTCAAGACAAAATGCTCAGCTTAAAGACCATGAGTAAGATCTTTGTGTTGACTTGAGCATGGAGTGTACAGGTATCCTAATTCTTTTCTGCCTTTGTATGGTAGGTCATTGGTTAAGGGTAGATAATCTGGCCTTTTAGCTGTAGGCCAGCACCATGTAGGGCCACATGTACTTGATCAAGAAAACTGCATTTCACCCAGATACTTTGGACTGGAAGAGACTTGAAGTCATCTTCTGTAGGTTGGGGGTGAGTGCCCTTAAAGTTTATGTATGGGGAGAACAGTGAATATTGGGGGGGAACCAGAGAGGTCAACAGTGGCCGATAGCACATATCCCCAAACTCCTCCTCCTCCCCTTACGTCTCTCTTTTAAAGGCTGGAAAAATTCTTATGTGGAGCTAGGGGTGGACATGTGCCATTTCTAGCCAATGAGGTGTAAGTGGTAATGTAGGTTACATTTAGGTAGTTTTACAAATGCTTTTTACTTTCCCAGTTAAGCCATGGCAGCCATTTAGTGAACTTCAGGTGATTAGCTAACATGCCAGGGATTGTGGGAGGAAAGGCCTGGTCACATTAGTGAGGTGCTGCAAAGCCCTACATATAACTCTACTGGGTGAGAAACTGAGCCATTGTCTGGTGATCTCTTAGGCTTGAAGGCAAATTTACCTCTTGCTGATACAGTCTATCTGCTTCCCAAAATGTGTGCAGTCAGAAGCAGGGGGTGGGAGGGTTTGCAGATAATTAAAAATCACCTATTAGTATAAAACTTTGCAGCCTATATTTTCTCATAGTTTGCTTTTCTTATAAATAGTCCCTACCTAAGCTAAAAGAGTATTCAGTTTCTTAGTTCATTTGAATTCAACAGCATTTTTTTTTGTCAATTACTATATGTATAGGTATTGCTTTTAGTACTAGGAATAAAAAAATAAGGTAGTAATTTTTGCTTTCAGAGATTATAGTTTATTTCAGAGAAGCAGACACACAAAGGCAACACAGTACAAGGTAAAGCATGCTAAAACAAGATGTGGCCTGACTGAACTTTTTAGGGTTAATGACAGTTTTTGTCTCTAGTCCTGGCATCTGGTACATACCGTATTTGCCGGCGTATAAGACGACTGGGCGTATAAGATGACCCCCTAACATTTCCACTCAAAATACAGAGTTTGTTATATACTCGCCGTATAAGACTACCCCCTCTTCCGCACACCTTCCACACACCAAATAAAAGGTAAAACAATATCAGATTTGATTTTAACATTTTAATTT